TGCCGGCATTTACATGTAAATGTGCAGATTCCGGTGTGTGTGTACAATATGGAAAACAAAACATCTAATGAGATTAGACCTGATCCATTTATCTCTGCTATACGGACATCGTTTAAGCGGATGCTGGATGAAATCCCACCAGAGCGCATCGTAGCCGTGCTGCTCCGAGACGGAGGGAATAAAGCGTTCACATTAGCGACGAAGGAATCAAACAAAGTTGGGATTTATCTCTTCTCTTAATAACACTCTTCCAGCAGTAGTTTAGGCTCATGATAACGTGTTAGCAGGACGCCATGACAAGAAAGGCATCTACCCGTTGAGCCGAATCATCCAAATCACCAGGTGGAAAAGAGCACTATCAATAAAAATACCAGGTGGTAGATCAAATCATAAAAATCACTGGGTGGTATATATCAAATCATTAAAAACACCAGATGGCATGCATTAACATCTTGTGCCCCCGTAGGCAAGGGGTGGGGATGTGGCAGATATAAAAAAAAGAGGGTACTAATTATCCCCACAATTCAACGTGATGCCATTATAGAAGAAAGGCAAAGTCCTTGTGGATGATCATATCTGAGGTGTGCTGACCCCCGAGCTTCGTGCCACCTTATTCCAGGTGGCTGAAACACACAAAGGTTCAATTAAAAGAAAATTACTGGATGTCGTCATTTGAAATGTGCTGAGATAGCATGATTTTTTGTTGTTGTTCCTAGAGTAAAAACCTAAATCTATCTAGGAATTCAATCAAATTATCTTTACTCTTTGCAACATTTTATTTATTTTTTTTCTGACAAAACAGCAAATACTTCTCATCTAGAGTTCGAGTGGTGCTTCTCGTTGTAGTCTGATGTAGGTTAGAGATTCATAAAATGAGCTTCTTTTCCTGATTTACCTGCAGCTGGAGGGGAAGGCTGTGGCTGGTGGTCCAGGGCACCACCGGAGTGAGAGCTCCCCGTTTCTGGGATCGCGTCTGCCGGCCCGTGGTGACTCGCACTGCCCGGACTCTCAGCTCTGCTGATGGTCTGGGTGTCTGGGTCACCAAGGCACAGTTTCCCATCCTCTACAGGCAGACATCTCTCCGGCAAGTAGGAGGAGCACTGCTGCAGCTGCTGCTGATGAGGATCTTTAGCTCTGAACATTTGTCGATCGATAGGAGGCCCAGGTGCTACAATCTGCCAACCTGCATAGCTGCTGTTGTTTTTGAAAGCATCTCTGTTAGAGATGATCTTCTGCAGATATTCCATGCTAGTGGAGCTGAGAGGAGGATGGAGATGGTTCAAGCCCAACAAAGAAGAACTCTCTGCATCTGTCAGCGGGCCTGAGGAAATCATCCTCCCTAACATCTCCCTGACTTTCATGTCAGAACCTGCTGTGGCCATCACGTGGTCATAATCTGGTAAGTCTGGCCGGTCGGGCGTATGGAACCTGTTGTGGAAGCTGGAGATGTATTGGGAGTAGAGGTTGCTTGGATGATCCCGTGTTAGATTACTCATGTCGACGGAGCTGTCTCGATCGGTGAGAACGCTGCTCTTGGCTGCCAGCTTGTTGAGGTGGACTTTCATGTGATTCTTGAGAAACCAGGGCTCCTTGAAACGACGGCCACATATTTGACAGCAGTGCTCAAAAGAGTCCTTGTGTTTCCTCATGTGGCCCTTAAGAAACCAGGCCTGACTGAAGGTCTGGCCACACACTTCGCAGGGGAATTCACCTACGGGCTTCCCCTTGTCACCTGCTCCCATTGGCACTTTCTGCCCTGAACATGAATCAGCAGTGATGTGTGTCATTTCAACGTGGCCAATGAGCTCCTCCTCTTGCGCAGCGGCAAACTCGCACAAAGTGCATTTGTAGGGTTTGTGAAGAATCCTGATGTGGCGCTCTAGCTCCTGCTGCTTCCTGAACTTTCCCTTGCAGAACGAGCAGCGGAAGCCGGCGGTTTGGGCCTGGACGGGCTCTTCTGGAATGGTCGTCACATTGGGAGAGGTGGACGCGTGGGACAGCAGATCTGGTGCACTGGAATTGTTTAAGAATTGAGGATCTGTTGGGATGGTCTGCAGACAAACCCTTTGAGTCTGGTTTGTGTTGGACAAAGGCGGCTGCTGTTGGCTAACAATACCAGCTCGCATCTGTCTGTCTCTTAGTATCGCCCTTTCCTCGAGCTCATGAAGCAGCCGGTTCTCCTCCCTTATCCTTCCACGGCCTTTTCCAAGAACGCCTTGCTTGTGTGTACGGAGGTGTATCTTCAGGTTGCCCTTCTGCGCAGCCCTGTGGTCACAGTACGGACACTTAAACGGCTTCTCACCAGTGTGAGTGCGCATGTGAAGGGAGAGTATGCTGTTGAAGCGGAAACGCTTCCCACACAACGGGCAGGGGTACTTCCTGTTCTTGCGGCTGTCGTCCTGCGCAGAATTGACCTGGGAGACGATGTTCTGATTGGTGATTCTCAGGAACTGAGAGAGCTCCACCCTCCCGTTCATGCTGCTGAGAATTCTTGCATCCATGATTTGATTGGCCAGAAGCGCCATCTGGTTCCTAATTGGGTGGGTGAACGGGGGTAATGAAGTTGTCCTCTCTGGGTCTGGGTGGTTTTAATGTTTTGTGGTCAGGGAGTAGCTTTGTGTTGCAGAATGTTGACAATGAGATGAACTCAGTTTGCAGTTAATCAGTGGAACCAGAATCGGGCTTCATCCTTTGCAGAGGAAACATCTGTTTGCTGTTGCTCAGACCTGAAGGGACAACAAAAAAACAAAAAAACATGCATATTTTTAATAATTTTACTCTGCTTTGTACACAAAATCACAAAAACAGGCAAGTAATGTGTGCTGTCAATAAAATCTTTACTTCTGCAACTGTTGTATAATGCCAGTGACGCACCACAAATAGGTCAGGAAATAGAGCAAAGTAGGTTCAGACACACTTCATCCTGTGTTAAGTGTACCTGTGGTTTTAGATTATTGTTGGAGACAGTAAAAATGCTGATTTTGTCTAACCACAAAGGCTTCCTCAACAAATATCTCATCTATACTAAAGGGTAAGGTGAAAATCTTGTCTAGATCACACTTAGTAATGAAATGACTCTAATGCAGCACAAACATCAAAGCCCGTCTGCTTCTGCTCGGCCTTCCTTTTGCATTTCAAAACTCCTCAGAAAGCTCCACACAGAAGATTAAAGTAAATAGCTGAGCTTTAGCAGTTCTGCTGCGTATCTGAGTAAACCCTTTTACCAGAATAATTTACCTCACAGTAGCATGAAAAGAAAACAACAACTTCATATTAAATGTAAAAAAAAGAAATGACATGGCAGTTAAGGAAGGGATACTGAAATGGAAAGCCTCCACTTGCCAGCTTTCTTTTTAATGCAACTGTGGCAGCAAAACAAAGCCTCAAATTCAAATCTCGCTACAATGATAGAGGTCACATAGCCGAGCCCTGCGCAGCTTTAGAGCAGCACCAAAGGGCACAGAACAAAGGATGCAGTGTCCACCCTGAATTAACACAGGCTTACATCATCCTGGATCACAACCTCAGTCAGTCACAAAAATGATGTTACACAAAAGCACACAGATAAAAAGTTAGCAAGGCTCAAATACGCCATTGTGTTAGCTGCTTTAAGCTGTAGATCACAATTTAATACCAACATGTGCTACAGACCAAATCGTACCTGACAAGAAGAAAAAGTCTGCAAATGAGTTGCAAAGTTTTGGCCACGCCTCCCCATTTTCTCTCTCTGCTAACCAGGTATTCAGCACGGTTTACCCATCTTTCCCTTCCCACTCTCTAGTCGCATGTCTCTAATGTCCTGCTGCACCGTGGCCTTGGATGTGTAATATTGCATCTAATTTGGAATCCGCCTTAAGCCGATAACGAAACGTTTCACAACTCTACTTTCTTGTCAAAATGAAAATTACAAATGACCAAATAAATGTGCTTGATTAAAAATTTAAGTAAAGATGAAATAAAACGCTTGAGTTGGAGCCACCTGCTGCTGCGTAGCAACCTCAGTCAGTCGTGAAAATGTTAAAACCACACACATAAAGAGGCTGCCTGCAACCATGGCTGGTCTAAGCATTGTGTCTGCTCTGAGCTCAGATCAATATGAGGATATGGGGCTGACCTAATCATATCTGACAGGGAGAAAGTAAGCGAGTGATATTAGCATACACTGATCCACTTCATATTTGCAAAAGTGGTATTTTGGATTAACTAACCATAACAAGTTGGCAAAAGAATGCCTCCATCACTTGTGTGTGTGTGTGTGTCTGTGTGTGGAAGCCAGATTTTGTGGATGGGAGTGGGGCCATTAGGTATTTTCTCTGTCAAAGTGAATTAGGCTCTTTTTGGTGCAGATTGAGAGGGTGCTTGATTGTTGTGAAGCGTTGAGTCACAGCGGCGCTTCTTAGGTGTGGCGTCGCATAGATGAAAAAGGAGCAGGTGTGATTTAGCACAGGCAATAAAAGGGAAACAAAAATGTGACAGCTCCACACACACATCTAAAGCAGCCATGGGAGCTGCAAATCCAAGATGAGTCGGGATAAAGGGTTCCATTTGCTTCCATTTCTGTCAAATTCTTTAATATTAGTATCTGAAAATATTTAAAAAATGCTATAATTTACATAGCTGTAGCAATAGGCTGTTATAAAGCTCACAGGTTAAGGAGACTGTATACACCACCAGTGTTTTGCCCTTGTTCTGCCATCTTTACCCTAGAACAGACAAATGAGACGGTCTCTTAGTCTCTCAAAATAAAATAAAAAATCCATAGCTCTTGCTACAGTAGACCTTTGGATCCAAACCGATACAAACAGTGGAAGATTTAAAATGAATGAGTGAACATTTTGAGGTTGAGCATTTGTCTTTTTAACATTGTTTTTTGCTTCTTTTTTTTTTTTTGTTATGTTCTCTGTGCAGCAGCTTGTGACTCATGTCTAGAAAAGCGCTCTAGAAAAAAGCTTTACTTAAGTTATGAAAATATTCCTTCATAACGTTATTTCACTTTTTAGTTTAGGACAATTGTTGCACTACTTCAAAAGTATTCTGACGAGTCTGAGGCTAACTTTATATAAAACACCTTGAAAGAATAGAGGTTTGGTATGCTTTGAGTAGGGACGAAGGATGAGGCGAGATATCGTTAAATAAACATATATTTTAGGGAGGGGGGCTTTGTGGTTAAAACTACATTTATTTTTTTCAGCAATTTTGATGCTGTGTAATTTGCCATTTCACAAAAAGGTTATGTTACAAGAACTAAACTTGAGCTAATAATCAAGTAAACACATCTTTAGTATTGTAATTTCTTGCATAAGTACACATCAGTGATCAGGTTCAGAATGTAGCACGTCTAAAGCGATCTGGGCGGAAACAGTCCTTCAAAACCAAGTTCACTTGTTTTCTTTTTTTCAATACATCTTCAGTGGTCTCTAGCATAAATAAATCCTTGTGAGTTGATCTCCGTGGGGGGAAAGCTCAGGTGCTCTTGTTTCTGGAACTAGAAGTGAGCCATAGCAGAGGTGAGCAGAACACACTCTTATTCCTGATATTCTGACACTTCACCTCTGATTGGCCAACAGCAATGCGACTCTACCACTGACTCCCTTTGCTTTGCAACAATGATGTGTTATCTCCACAAATAACACAAGCCCAAAAGAGTTCTGTCATGTTGCAGCGCTGCTAATGCTAACGGTTAGCTTCTGCCAGTCGAGACGTTCCTCCTGGATGCTAAACCAACAACAGCCTTCCCCATCGTTAGCCAAGGTGGTTGAGTCCATGAATGCTAATTTGACAATGTGTTGGGAGTTAGAGTGTTTCCCTGTTTATTTTCAATCAGAAACTAATGCAAATGGGGTAGAAGACTATTTTCACATTTAGCCTTCATGTTACACCCAGAGAGACTGAGAACTTGGTCTTTGAAGCAGCAGCAATGAGGCGTTTTCCTCTTTTGGGAATTTCATATGATTTTTTTAAGTCTGTAAAAGTTTGTCTCACCCTGTACTGTGATGCATTGTAGGCAATACAACGTGATTTATTTTTATTGCTAAGCCCAACCCCGTTCCACAGATCCTGTCCCACCCTATGCAATTAAAACTGGACGCCACTCAGCATTAGCCAGTAGCGCTGAACACTCGCTTGTGTGGAGATGTCAGCCACAGGTGCACGTTCACAAAGGAAAGGCGTTGTTTCCGGCCATGATCATGGAGGTAGGAAAGAAGAGCTTACGGTGGGTGCAATATGTTTTTCTACCTCTAGATGGTGTCATCTGAGGAAAAAAAAATCTGATTTCTGCCACCTACCGTAAATCCTCTAATATTAGCCTGTATTTAATTAACTGCCAGGTATCATATTTTGGCCGGTGTCGGAGTCGGCGGAGGTGAATAATGGCCGTTTTTTTTATTGTGGCCGGGTGGAATGTGGTAACAAGCAAGTACTACGGAGGGGGGGGGGGGGGGGGGGGGGTCATATCCATCTCACTTTTGATTTGCCAGTGATAGACCGCGAGGGTAACTTTAACCATGGCAGGTGCGGAGATGAAGAGGAGGCGAAAATTTGATATCAAGTTCAAAGAGAACGTGCTGATTATGCTGCAGAACACTCTGGGGAGCAGTAGCAGGGGTTGTATGAACTAGTCACTAGTCGACTTCACCGCTCTATAGTGACTTTTTATGCCTGTCATCGACTAGTCGCTGTCACGTGATAATGACCTGCAAGATGCAGTCCACGGAAAAGACAGCAGCCTACTGTCAGCAGGTGACAAGCTCCTGCGCGTCGGGATGCAACGCACTGTGCAAGAGCGTCGGTACTGACACCCGCCGTAAAACGGACATTTAACCAAATTGTGACGTTTACCCTCTTGCAATTTAACATTCCCCTCACCCCCATCCTAATTTTAACCAGCTGGCGCATGCAAAGCTCTGATTGTTGACGCGCTCCAGACATCTGCGTCCTGAGCACGGCCACAGTAACATTATCAAATCAGGTGTCGCCACCTCAAAAACTAATTTAACAGGCAATCGTTCATGTCGGCTCATTTCCTTTTATGTTTTCTGTCTTTTATTCTTTTCTTTGTACCTGATGCGTTTCGCTGCTGTGGATCAGGGCGCATCACCTGTTTTATCCTCGGTGACCTGATGTGGCCAGCGAGCACCCCGCAGTTTCTGCGGTCAGTAGATCTTTTAGAACTGCAGTTCAAAGGTAACTCATAAGGTGAATATATATGAACCCAGGTAGCAGTTTTTCTTTAGGATTGAGAGGAGATGCAGGAAGATAATAAACAGACAGGACAGAAAAATAGTCAAATAAAAACAAGTTAGTTTTTGTACCTGGTGGTTGCAACAAACAGACACCATTGAAGGTAATCAGAAGTGAGGAACAGAAAATGAAATAATTATTTTTGTGTTTAGAGCAGCAGGAACTCCGAGAGGCTGCAGGCGCATCAGTGAGTTTGCGGCCGCTGCGCAGGGGGAGGGGGGAGAGGGCTGAAGCAGAAACTACCGTTGTTAAAAGAAATGTGTTTAACTTTGAAAATGTGGGCGCAGTTTTAATTGTCAAAAACCATTACATCTTTTTGCTCAAATAGAAATTGAGGCCT